CGTTATGAGATTTCATGTTTTCAGTCGTTATTTATTTTTATTATTCACTGGGTCGGAGTACTCACATTACTCTCTGCACCATGTGTGCAAATACATGCAGAGCTGAGTTCGCTCCTGAGCGCTGATTCTTTCTAGACCAGGCGGTGACTAGGAGTAACGAGGTAGCTGTTGACGTCCGCAGACCCGTTTTCTCCCTTATCTTTGTTATTTATGATAATTCCAGACTTTGTAAAATATTAGTAAACTCTGTAGTAGCTCATGACTTGTGACACCCCGATTTCGGGCTGAGTTGGGAGGGTTTTCCTTGTTCTATCACGTTTATTTCGCATTTAAGATTAGATTGCCCATGATTTAGACTTATTCCTGCTAAGTAATTATAAAGAGATGTACTGTTTTGTTGATTGGCTGGCCTTGTCCTCACGAGAGGCGCCATCACGACCGGGTTGGGATTTTGGGTCGTGACACAAACCAGCAGGATTTAAAGTATACAGATAATCTTCGAATTGACTTTGGTCATTCGGTTCAATAGTTTCATCAATTGCAACATATGTTCTAGCATCTTTTGGGAATCTAGATATGAGCATATCATTTATTTCATGAACAAAATCATTTTTTGTTGTCAAGATCACACGAGAAGCTATGGAGGAAGAATCATTAAATATGAATCTTTATTGTGATATGTTACCTCAAATAACTCATTCAAGGATTCTTCTTCAATTGTAAAAGGAATAATCAAAGAGTTAGGAATTTGAACTTTTTTCTAGGCATAAAGTATTTCTTTTCCATTTCTAATTCTCATCAAGTATTCACAAAAGCTAGGATATGTTCTTGCACGCATATTCTCTGATAGCTGTAGTTTTTCTAGTTGATTCCAAATTTCAGAGTATAGTAAACTTTCAGAAATGAAGTCTTCTTTTTCCCCATTTCTAACAACTGGAAGAGTTTGTCTAAAATCACCTCCAAAAACAACTACTTTTCCACCAAAGAGCATCTTAGTATCCATTAGATCCTTCAAAAGTAAATCAAAAGCTTCAATCATTTTCCGTTTAGCCATTGATGCCTTATCCCATACAATTAATTTTGCGTCCCGAATTAAACATGCAAGTGAACTTTGCTTACTGATATTGCAACCAATATTTTCATCAATACCAATAGGGATCTTAAAGCGCGAATGAGTTGTTCGCCCTCCAGGAAGAATAGAAGCTGCAACACCAGAAGTTGCAGTTGCTAGTGCTACAAATCCCTTAGATCTTACCGTAGCCAACAAACTTCGACATAAGAAAGTTTTACCAGTTCCTCCTAGTCCGTCAATAAAAAAGCTCCCGATTTGTTGGAAAATATTCTATCAACAATCATATTGTATGCTCTTCGTTGATCTGTATAATGAACTTCTAATAACAAATCTTCTTAGGAAACTCTTAGGCTTCTCTCAAAATGAACTTCTTTTACCTCTTTTACAATTGTAGAAGCTCTAATGTTTTCTGCAACAAGCTTGTACTCGTTAATGTCGTGTCCCATCGAGTGTAGTTCATCATTGATCTGGTTCAGGACTCTATGATGAATATTTTTAAATCCATTATTTGGCAAGCGTTTGAAGTCTTCGGACATTGAGTCTTCAAATTGTTCTCATAACTCTTTTGGATTAGTAGGAGTACAATATACCAATAGCGTAGCAAATAATCGTCTTAAACTATATGGCAATTGATAGCTTGCAGCTTCAATCATACAGTCAACCAAACTGTTGTCAGAATGTAATAATCCTCTTTTTTCAGCAGCCTCTCTAAATGTAATATAACATTTTCCATTTACAGTACGAAGATCTTCATATGATGTTGGTCCTCTCACATTCAGTAATAATAGTTTGAGATAATATGTCTCACCTTCTGTTGGATGACATGTCACAACGCGCCCAATAACGGTACGTTATTTTCGACGTGTCCATGTCTTGTCTGTAACTGACCAGACAAAGTATTCTGGAAACGCTTTATATAGTAGCTTAAGTTCTATAGCATAATCATCTGTTTGGTTCATGACAAAATTTTCTGTCAACATTGTTTTTCTAATTATAGGTTTTTTTAAAATTGCATTTATACTCTCAGTGCTTTTCAAAGAAACATATTGTTGTCCTTCAAGGTGTAATTGAAGATGATAAACACTTGGTGTCATCTCACTAATAGAAAAACCAAATAAATGCTATGTAGCTTCGGGTGGAAATACCCATCTAGCAGGTTGATATTCTTTTATTTCATCAATCTCTTTGTCTTTATCATTGTCATGTACAGAAAAATAAATTTTGTCATGACCTTTTATATATGTACTTGTAAAGATACTTGACAACTTTAATATCTAAGCATATCTCGATATTCATATGACAGTTAAACTTGTCAAGTAAAAAAGGATTATATGATACCACCCATGAATTATCGAGGAATTTTTCTCTAATTTTTATTGCTTCACCTGTATATCGTCTTTTGTAAATTAGATAAGATTTTTTTTCCTTTTGATGTTCGATCAGCAAAATCTTTAGGGTAGTTGAATTTACAATATCCATTTTTCATGCATGAATTTGCAAGATTCAAATGACCACAAGGATCGTGCGTCATATGATGTACAATAAGTGAGTATAAGTAAGGCTCTTTATCTCGATCAGGTAATTCAGCACAAACAACTGTGTCGTAAGACTCAGGTGTCAACAATTTGTATTCATTAGCAAGAATAATAAGGAAATGTGCATGTGGAAGACCATGTTTATGGAATTCTACAGTGTACATAAAAGCAGCAACCTTTCCAAATATATTTCTTTTTAATATATCATTTTTAGCTCTTCCAATTTTGCTCTAAATACTCGACTAATTAAGTCAGGTCTATTTTGTGCCTCATCGGTAGATAACAAATGTTCTTTTATTTCTGGCCATAATGGGTTGCATGTCATCGTTAGAAATAAGTCAGGTGTTCCAAAATGTTGTACCAAAGCAATAGCATCCATATATCGCTGGCGCATATCTCTTGGTCCCCCGTAAATGTAACAGGAAGGAAAGTTTGTTTTCCGATTCTAGAAGCATCTCTTTCACCTTGTCTTAAGACATCAAGAATACCTTGCAAAACTTCAATTCTAAACAAGTCTAGATTGAAAGAGAAGAAGTCTAGTCGTTGTGTTTCAAGTTTTATGAATACATCTACGACATATTGTTGGAATATCCTTCCAATATGTAAGATTTCATCAGTCTCATCATCTCTTATTTAAATTTTATAACAATAATATTCACGACAAGAGACAGTATTTCTTTTTTCCTTTGTTGTTCTAGTACCTGAGCTTCCATATCAAGAAAATTGTCAATTAAACACATGTTTGCAACACTTGATAAATTTTCCTGTTCACAGTAGACACGACATCTAGTAGTATTCTATGGTTGTACTATTTTCTTTATACCACAGTGTCACCCATCTTGACCATATGAAAATAATAGTGGGTATTGTAAGGGATCATAACATCCATAGTAATAGTTTACTAATTGGCTTTTATTGCTGTGAGTATAAATTTGAATGTGAGGTATGGAAATATGAACGCCTTCTTCCACCATTATTGCTGCAACTTCAGATGCAGTAGGTAAGTTATATACTCGTTGATCTAAACATGAGTCACATTTGAGCGCAATATAAAAGTTCGACAATTCCGGAACATCTACCAAAGATTTCAAGAAAACACTATACGGATTATTTTGTAGTATATTCATCAATTTTCTGATCATTGACTCATGTACTCTAGTTGAACAAGCAATTCTGTTTGCTACCTCATTTTCATTGTCGTAGAAGTATAACTGTAAATTTCTTGCTTTCTCATTCGCAGGATATAAATCATCTATAAAGTGATATATTTTTCCTTGAACTCTAAATGTATAGATACCATGATTTCTCTTAGCTAAGTCTTTGTCATATTTTACCCCGAGCGAAGTAAATGCAAACATGTTATTGTATGTCCTAACATATGTTCGGAAATGGTCAGACTCTTCAGTAGCACCCAAAAATAATTCTCGTAGCTCTATAGGCATTTCATGTGAAGTAAGCTTGATTGAACTTTTATTGCAACAGAATCCAGGGGGTTCATATTGAAATCTTTTTGCAGCATAAAATTTAAAGTTTGGGACAACTTTGAAAGCAACATATTCGGTTGTGATCCAATAACATGCAGGGGGGCTCTTCTACGTAGTCTAACTCCTAAATATTACGGAAATAACTGGGAGTCAATTTTCACTCCAAAGAAAGATAACGAATCTTATTCTAACCTGATAGTGATACGAACCTCTATTTGCTACATTCTCTGAACCAACACCACATCGGTCATTAGATGTACCTGATATAGATCCTAATATAGACATAATTATGAATTACATAAGTAAATGGTTTACGACAATAGAAATTTTATTAAAATAATATGCTTCATAAACTCGCCTATTTCGAAGATGGAAAAACGACCAACTAAACTTTTTCCTTTCGCAAAAGCAGCAGGTAAAGTACTAACTTCACATTTAGCAGCTAATAAAGACACGTGAAACAAATTTAGTTTAAACTGGCTGCATTTAAACAGAAAGAGCGAAAGTTTAATTTGCTAACCTTGATTTGAAGTAAGAGAAAAATCTCTTATTATGAGAGCACTCTCCCTTTGAAGCGTTGAATTACTTAGAGATGTTGATTTGACTGAATCATCTAGAGTACGACTTTCTAGAAGACGTTTTCTTGAATCGATTTCTTTCATACAGCGGTTTAACAATAATGCTTCCTTTCTATCCGGTGAGATTTCCTTATATTTTTTACGGTGATTGAATTTCATTTTAGCACTTCTATCTACCAAGCATGGACTTTTGTTCCTTTGTCCTGAACGTGATATAGGCACATCTTTTTTATCCCCCGATACCTATACTTATCCAATGTAAGAAGTATTAAAAAAATAAACCACACCCTTTCTCCAAAAAGATATCAAGTGAAAGGCAAAATTGAATAATTTGGTTGGGAACGGATGCTTTCTATTAGCTTTGTCACACCTCCTTTTTACCTACACCTCGTAAGGGGTATAAGGGGAGTTTTTTCCAATTTAAGTGACATTATTCGAAATGGAATTGTTTTATATTAAATCAGAGTCGCCACTTGGGATAATTTATGGTGTCCCAAGTCACCGGTTTAAAATCCCGAATCAAGGAAGCAGACTCTATTTACGGTCTGCGAACACAGAAATCCGGGTAAGGAATTCTGTTAACCCGATAGAAGGTGTTAGGCATTCCCGGGTTCCGTGGTTTTAGCACGGTCGCTTTGATCATACTTGGCTTAATCAAATTGTTTAATTACTCGATTTTAGAACCTATGTGCATTAGCCGCTTTTAATTAGGAAGTTATCTTAAAAGGAGTCACGCGTACGTGTACCCATTTTGTTTAGCGCGTCAAGAATCATGTCACGCGTACGTGTCCAAAATTAATCACGCTTTATTGACATTAAGAAAGTTTTGTTGAAGTTGTGCGAACGCATACCCCGATTTATTTTTAGAAAAAATCATAATTATGTTACGCGAACGTATACATGATCACGATGATAGATTAAGTCGTGCCTAAAGCATTCTAATGGTGTCCATTATTCTTCGTAAACTTTGAGATTATTGGGAGGTCATCGATTATGGAGTACAATATTGGAGGAGCGTGATTTGCAAATTGCTTACACCAACTTCTGGATGAAATTCTTGCTAAAAAGAAAGACTCGGCTACTTCTGAAAAGCTTGGCATTCTAGCAATAAAAGAAAACGGGCCAGCTAGATGTTCTTATTAAGATTGGGCTACCTATAGCTTTTATTAATTGGCCTGATATGGTTCAAGCTTAATTGAGTCAAAAAATGAAAAACAAATCTCAAACCCACATTGATGTATTTTTAAAAAAAAAAAATACAAAACACATCTGCCAAAGCTTCATTTTCTAAGTCTAACTAAAACTCAACTCCACAGATTGTATAGCAAGCTTAGACCAATATTATTTAACATGTAAATTCACAAGTACTCTAATTAAACAAGAATCCAATAAGGAAAAAAAACTATGTAGCTAATAAATGAAAACCAAGCACACATCAAGATAACTCATCATTGGTTATTAGCCATAATGGCCCAATATTATTATCTTACTATCTTCCAAAGGGCATGTTAATGCTAAATTAATTGATTGTCAAATTTTCCAGTCAACTCAAATTACCAAAGTAAGAAAAAGAGCCCAATATCCATCATTAAAGCCAATAAAAGATTAACAATAACAGTTGAAGTAAAATTCCATGAGCATCTTGTTGATTCATCCAAATATGCATTTGAAAGCTTAAACAAGTAGAAGCTATCCATTAACTAGACAAAAAATCACAGCGCAACATATGGTACTCAGTGGATTTAATAAGCATTATGTAATTGAAATGTACCTTTGATAATTTCCTTTCCAGAATTGACTCAAACATTCGGCAATGTACAAAATGAGGAGGAAATTGACAACCCGACAAACGGCCAGAAACGAAAACGCGAACAGGACCTTAGCTGGACTCGAACGGACCTTCAGAAGATTTCACTTGATCTACTCCATTTTTGGTTAAGATCTGCAGGGCTTCGTGGAGAAAAAGTCGTTGGTTTCAGGTGGGATTTTGAGGAGTTTCATGGTTGTGTTTTTTAATCATTTTCGCAGCTGATTTGCTGATTTCGAAGGGCTATTTTCAACTGATTTGAGCAGATTTTCAGCTACCATTTTGGGGCTTTTTTTCACCAGCTTTACAACTAGTTTTGCTGCATTTTTTGGCAGATTTTAGCTGCGTTTTTTGCTGTTTTGGAGGCTATTTTTTGTGATTTTTGCAGCTAAAAAGCTATTGTTTTTTTACTTCAAAGAGGCAGCTAACAATGGTGCTCTACATGTTTTTGCTGGAGATTTTAACTAATGTTCATGGAGTTTTCAGGTTACTTTCTTGGCTAAAAATGGAGTTTAGTGGTGGTTTGGAGGTGGTGAGCAACTGAGAATTTTGTGAAGAAGAAGGGGTTTGTTTGGGAGGAAGAAGATCAGCAGCAGCTGCTCGCATGAGGCAGCTGCGTTTTTTCTTTTTATGATGCTGCTGCCCACTGTTTTTTTTTCTTCTTTTCTTGTTTTTCTCTATGTCCCCCGCCTTTTAGGCGTTAGGTCTAGGGTCCTTTTATAGTCTAAGTCTAGGATTTTAGAGGTATTGGGCTTGGGTTATTATGGGCTAGGTCCGAAAATTAGGCCTAAAAATGAGTTGTTCGAGCCCAAGTTTTATTCTTTCCCCGCAAACGAGATTAAAATACGACCTCATTTATTAATTAGTCCTACTTAAGTAAAATAACTATTAAAATAAGACTGACCGTTAAAACAAAACTATTTTTAGTATTTTCAAAATATCATACTAAAAGATAAAAAATAAATACAAAAAAATAAAAAAATCATTAAGATAACATTCCTAGAATTGCTTTTGTATTTTTGAATTTAGTAGACAAATTAAAAGTAATTAGATAAAAATATTAACTAGCTAAATAAGAGAAAATATTTTTTGTAATTTTTATTTTTTTGTGATAAAATAAAGCAAATAGAGTCAAAATTAGTTGAAATAACTATATTAAACCTAAATAAAAATTTTGCATGCTAAAGTGGGTGAAATTTCGGGGAGGTTCAAAAATCACATGTCTACAGCTGCCCCTCTTTGACTGGAAATACGAAGTATTTTCAGACAAAGAACGACTAGACAGGTTTTGACCCGACCCTTATTTAGATAGACCAAAACTAAGAGAAAGGAAGAGAATGCGACCGAGCCCTGGTATCTGAGCTGCCTACATATCCTTAGCTATAAAGGAATCAGGTCACGTGTAGTTCATAAGTAAATGAGGTGATGGAGTACCGAGGTGGAGAGCCGATCAAGGTGTCGTTCCGCTGAGGTTCCTGTCTGTGGTCCTGTTATTACACCAAAAATCAAAAAATAAAAAAAAAACTAACTAAGCCTGTCAACTATGAGTTATAAGATTCCTATCTATAAGTCTTCTGAAGCTTGATCTGGAGTCTTGAATGGTTCTTCATGCACACTTTAGATTTGAACCTTGGCGCTTGTTAGTTGCAGGTGCTAGCTCGTTCTTATTTAGTTTTTTGGATCAAGATCGGACATGCAGTGCTTGTGACCTCAGTCATGTCTTGAGCAATCCGCCTCTTGTTTCAGCTTCTGCATTTTTGGATTCACTCCCTTTTTCCCTTTTTCTTTTATTATTTTTTTTTGTTTTGTTTTTTTTTTAATTCGGGACTGAGGTTACTTCCATTGATCATCTCGTCTGTTGACTCGCCTTCTTGCCTCAAGCTTCTGCTAATTCTAACTTGAACTGTTTTCCTTTGAAACTTGAACTGCTTTCCCTTGAAACTCAAATTGTTTTCCCTTGTTCTCCAGGTGGGCGCCTGATTGCTGAAACTTGAACTGTCTTCCTTTGAAACTTACACTGGTTTCCTCGAAACTTGAACTGTTTTTTCTTATTCTCCAGGTGGGCACCTGATTCTACAACAAAACAGACAAAACAAAAGAAATTTTTCTGCCCCAGTTTACACTAGGAAGATTTGTGAGTTGTTAACAAAACTATAAATCACCTACGCTGCTGATGGAGGATGCAATGATGAGAGTAAAATTAATGACTCGACTAGGACATGTGTCTCCTATGCGTGATTGAACTTGCGGAAAACTATAAACTAAGCTTGACTAAAGTAAAGACTGACTCTATTCTCCAGGCGGGACCCCTGATTTCAAGAAAACTAAAAATTGACCCTTTTTTTCAAATCCAGACTTCCCTTTTTTTTCGAATTCAGACTTCCTTTTTTTTAATTATTATCCAAGGATAAAATTCATCGGACTAGGTTTTCTATCTTAGGAGAAAAATTCATCAGACTAAGATTTTGATCCTAGAAGAAAAGTTCATCAGATTAGGTCTCTTTTTGGTATCTTAGGAGAAAGATTCATCAGACTAAGATTTTGATCCTAGGAGAAAATTCATCAGACTAGGTCACTTTTTTTGGTATCTTAGGAGAAAGATTCATCAGACTAAGATTTTGATCCTAGGAGAAAGTTCATCAGACTAGGTCTTCTATCTTAGGAGAAAAATTCATCAGACTAAGATTTTGATCCTAGGAGAAAGTTCATCAGACTAGGTCTTACCTTAGGACAAAATTCATCCGACTAAGATTTCGATTGGGAGGAAAATCCATCAGACTAGGACTTTTTATCCTAGGAGGAAAAATGTATAGATCAATGGCAAGATTTTATGCACAATAGCAAGACAAATAAAGGCAAATATTTGAGAAACTTTCCTTTGTTGGCTCTTCTCGTCTTTTCTTTTTCTTCTTTCTTTCTTTTTTTTGTTGTTTTTTTTCTTTTTTCATTTTTTCTCTTTTTGAATTACTTTCCTTGCACCGCTTTGTTCCTGTTTCAAACAAAGAAAAATTTGTCAGTTTTGAAAATGGTAGTCGGTTTGTGGCCCTGAGTCTTGGGCAGCTTGGCTTCTACTTAATCAGCTTGAGTCGGCTTCAAGAGACTTTTGCTCTGCATCAACCCTAATTGTTTCACACCTAGTATCATTTGTACTTGTGGCTCAATCAGCCCTATCCCAACTGGAGATTTTTGCTTAGGTGACCTTTTCTGATATCTTGAATGACTTCTTGCTTTTTGAGCAATTTGTATGTCAGAGAGAATCACCAGTCATCTTTGCTTACATCAAGTAGGCTGACAAGAGTCTTTTTTGGGGGAACCTTTGTATGAATCCTCAAGGCTCATTGACAGTAACAACTGAGTGTGCTGGCCAAATTTACTTTGTGCAACTGAAAAGCTGGTAGCAGATTTTGAAATTTTTTCTTGCTTGTTTTGACAAGGACTGACTCAGAGTGGAGGACACAAGTGATGCAAAGAACTAATGTTAACAAGAAATGTCTCTGTCGGGAAGGATAGAAGGAAGGGTTTTTTTTCTTTTTTTTTCTTTTTTTTCAATAACTAGCCTTAATGATCATGACATGCATTTTGAACTTAATGGCCGATCTATCAAACTAATTCAATCTTCCATTTTACCATTCTTACGACCTTTGAAGTTGGGCTTGTCGTGTCAATTTTTGCATCAGCTTCACAACTCACTACTGACTAGCGATGCCCCGAGGGGTTTTCACCAACAAGTCTCTCTCATTTATTCATCTCTACTTACCGTCGCCTTATTGTGCCCGTGAGGGTTTTCACTAGTAAGACTCTCTCATTTTTCTTTTTCTTTTTCTTTTTCTTTTTCTTACTTTTTTGAGCAACTTGACAGTGTTCTATGTCGTGTGACAACCATTGCTCATTGCATGCTTCTCTTGGCATTCTTAAAGGCATATTGGGAGGTCTTTATTTGAAAGAATTTTGGATAGGGTTGGAAAGAAGGGTCGGCATGAAGGCTCAAAATGGACTCAAAATGAGGGGTTGTGGACTTACAACTCTTGGAATCGACTCTTTCAAAAGTGAAATAAACTCTCTGCCCCAGTTTCAGCTATTGGGGATTTTTTGGATTTTTTTTTTTTTGAATTCTTATTTGGTTGGACCGAACCGTGAGGCTGCCTATGTATCCTTATTTTTTAAGGAATCGGGTCGAACGTACTTCAAACATCTGACCTAAATTAGTTTTCATCTCTCTTTCTGTTTTTTTTTTTCTTTTCTTTTCTTTTCTCTTTTTTTTCCTTTTCTTTTTCTTCTTTTTTTTTTGTTTGCCACAGCTTCTATTTTTGAGGGCATGGACCTTTGACAATTCTTTTCTTCTTTTTTTTCACTTGAACTTTCTAAAAGCTGCCCCAGTTTGTACTCTTGGGGCATGGACTTTTCTTTGCTTTTTCTTTTTTTCATTTTTTTGACTCTTGACTCTAAACTTGATTCCAAAAGATGGTGGTCAAAGAAAATAACACATGTTCAAAAGGGGTAACAAAGGGTATAAAGTGTTTGGATAGCAGAAAAAGGGCCTCCCAACCTTGAGAACACCAATTATAGTATCTTTTCGCAATCACAGCATTGACGAACATGTCTGTCTTCTTGGTGTGTCGTGGTCACAAGACACTTTCCATCCCTTAATGACAAACTTACCAACAAACTTCAATTGATTAAACATCCTCAAGCCCGATCTTCACCATGATTTGAAGGTGAATTTTACTCGACCTCAATTCCAAAGTATCTCAACTCTTTATTCATTCTCAAAAGTATTTTTTTTTCAATTATCCAATTCCATATTAAATCAGTTTCTAAGATCTTGACAAAATTTCCGCATGCATGTCATGTCATTAGAACTAGCGAAAAAAGAACTAGGAACAAAATGACACAAAAGGACAAACTGTGTTTTATTGAGTAAAGGATGAAAGGATTTGACAACAAGACAAACAACCCAAGATCCGAGTTACAACCCTAAAATAACCCGAATAATGAAAATAGCAACAGAACAAACGGACAAGACTCACACAGACAAAATGGAGGGATAGAAGGGTTTGACTCAATAAAACAAATAAAATCTGGATCACAACCCTGAAATAACCCAGATAATAGAAAAAACATCAAAACAAGCTACCAAGATTCCTTCCTAGTGAAGAGGGAATGACTTTTCAATTGCTAGGCTTGACATTTAGCCACAAATTTGCTCATCAGAATCAGCAAAGCCTTCTCCAATTTCAACATCATTAACTTCAGTTAGCAAGCTCCTGAGAGAATTCTCAAACTCCATGTCACCAGGCATCATCCCCACAAAGCGTGCATCATAATGTGCAGGTAAAGGATTCTGTGCGATATTCTGGGTGTCACTGTCTTGGATCACAATCAGATTTTCCTGGATCATCCTTTCTATTTCTCTTTTCAAATCCCGACAGCTTTCAATATTGTGCCCCTGGGCATTGGAATGGTATTCACACCTTTTAGAAGGGTCAAAGCTTCTTGCACGTGGGTCCACATGATTTGGAGGAATAGGTGCAATCATGTCATGATGCTTTAACTTCTCAAATAAGCTTTCATAGGACTCTCCTATTGGTGTAAAATTATCTTTCAACCTTCGTTCCCCTTTATACTTCTGGCTTGGATGTGGGTTATAGGGCACCTGAAAGTTTTGTGGAGGCTGTTGGAGATTTCGTGATGCTCGTGCTCGCCTTCTGGGGTGTTTTGGTGGCTAGACAACATACTGAGGTGGAGCGACAGAGTATTGAGGGTTCTGAGGAGGATAATACTGCTCAGGGGAGTCATGGAAAACTTGATGAGGCTACTCATACCTTCGAGATGTTCTCCTAGGA